GGCACCACTTTGAAATGTGGCAAAAAAAATCAACGGAGGCCCCGTTGTCTAGATGCGTTACATACTGGGGGCACGGTGGGTCTTGTGCTGTTGTTGTCGTTAATTTGCGACTGGATTCACATTGGTTCAACTTCAAGGGGATGGGTAGTGCTGGCGCTGCATCACATCGCACTGCGCAGCATGACAGTGACAAAGTGGCGAAGCCATTACTTGGCGAAAGTGTTGCAAAAAAAATCCTGCTGCTCATATATGTATAAGCTAGTAAAACGTGTGCAAGGGGTAGTGAGATAGAGGGCAAGCTGGCTACTGTTTACTAGTCTTCAAGCCGCATGGTGCAGGGGCTGCAAAATCTAGAGAACTAGAGGGATAGCGAGATACTTGGTGGAGTTTTTCTTTGTTCAATGTCTTTTGATTTCTCGAGAGCGTTTTGAGCGCCATCAGGCAAGGTACTCCCAAAGCTACTGGGGGAGCTTTCTGGCTGTGCCCCTGAGAATGCGCCATGAGTGCCATCCGTCAAGCTATTCTCTAAGCTACTAGAGAGGAAGCCTTCCAGCTGAGACGCGTCAGCCATCTCTGGACTTGCACTCGCCTCAAGGCTGGAGCTGAGCCGCCGCCTTTTCGAGCCTGTCGCACGCTCGGTGTCTGCTTTCGAGACAGGCACACACGGCTCCCCTTTCTTTGCGTGCTCGCTCGGGTCTTCAGCTTCAACTTCAGCAGACTGCTCAACGCGTCCCCCACTGAAGACACCGCCGCCCAAGTCGAAATCTTCCAGAGTCAGCTTCTCTTCCGCCACGTCTGCGCCTGGGCTGTTGCCTCGTTCTGGGTGTGCTTTGCGTTTCGTCCGCTTTCCACCCCACTTCTTCATCTCCAACCCAGGTTAGAGGTGGGGCTGAGAAGTCCTGTAGCTACTAGATAATGCTGAAAAAACTAACCAACGCCACATAAGTCTCTAATGAATCTAACCCGGCCGCCGGTGCTCTTCATCAAAGTCAAAAGTCACACTTATAGCAAGAATAGAAAATAGAAGAGACACGACCGGGGTGCTTTCATCAGAGCAGACGGCTTCCGGCGTTATATACAATGGGGACGCAGTCAGTGGCCGAACCAAGTGCCTCACATTTTCCGAGTCGGAGTCAATTCCTACAATGTTGCGTCTGTCATACTCCACCCATTCATAACAGAAGTTCTTCTCGTATTCACACGAGGAAGATCCATGCTTCCCCTCTCCGCCGGCCTTCGCGTCGAGGGCGGCCGACTTCACACCACCGCACTTCGGACACAGCTAACGTTAGAGGGCCACCCTATGCCTATTCCCACCTACTTACTTACTTACTTACTTACCTACTTACTTACTTTCTTGCCTACTTACTTACTTACTTACTTACTTACTTACTTACTTACTTACTTACTTACTTACTTACTTACTTACTTACTTACTTACTTACTTACTTA